TCTCCCCAGGATCCACCCCAAATCTCCAAGAATTTCCCAGTCCAGAGTTGGCAACTCTAAATGTGTACCACCATGGAAGGCGGGGGTTGCTATACAGGGCAAAGCAACAAACCATCTCTATCATCTCTTGTCTTGAAAACCCTGTGGATGGGGCTGCCATGAGTCAGTTGTGACTCAAGAGCTCTATCATGGGCCAAGCCAGCTGCCTCCTCCTCTGAGGAGAAAATGGAAGAATCATAGAATGTTAGAGCTGGGAACACCTAGATCCCTTTCACATGTACTGCTGTCAAGCCAAGTCCCTCCCATTCTATATCCGTGTCTTTGATTTCTTGTACCTAAGTGTAAGACTTTGCACTTATCTCTATTGAAATTCATTTTTTTTTGTCTCAGCCCACTGTTCTAGCCTATCTAGATCATTTTGAATCCTGACTCTGTCTTCTTCAGAATTAGCAATCCCACCTAACTTTGTGTCATCTGCAGATTTGATAAGCATACCCTCTATGTCTTCCTCCAGGTCATTTATGAAAACATTGAACAACACCAGGCCTAGAACCGAGCCCTGTGGCACTCCACTTAAGACTTCCCTCCACGCAGACACAGAGCCATTTATGAGCACTCGTTGGGTATGATTTTTCAACCAACCGACCATGAATCCATCCAACGGTTGCACCATCCAGCCCACAGAGTTGACCCCTGCACTGGTGGAATACCTGCCTGAGCAGCTGGATTGAGAAGCAGACCCAGCAAGAAAAGCATCAGGAAGTGGGAACATTTTCCAGCTGCAGCCAGGCTGCTCATTTCGGCAGGAGAAGAAAGAAATGACAGAGAGGTCAGAGCATCAGTTGCCACTGGTTTCTCCTGAACCAGCAGAGTACAGAAGAAGCTCTAGAGAGATGAAGGAGTGCCCGTCTGATTGTCCAGCAGAGATCAGTGTTAATTCCTGGAGCAGAGTATTTGCAGGAGCAGGAATGACAAGCTGATAGGGAAGCAAAGGGCTTGCACCTGGAGGACAATGAACTCAGCAGTAAGAACCAACACCTGGACTTTGGAGGAATGAGTCAGCTAATGAGCAAGGCTCAGTGTAGAAGCAAGTTTGTATGCAAGCTATCTTTGTGAGGTGACCTGGGCTACTCTGACTTATTGTCTTTGTATTCTGTCCTTGCTAACCTTTGCACTGGTTCCAAGCCGTAGACTCTCTTTTCTTCTGACCCTAGACTGAACATTTGGCTCCCTGACTTTGGACTGGTTTGTAGACCTTGCTCTTGTTTTGTTGATTGACATTGTATTTGTGTATCCTGGAAAGCCCAGGTAGAGTAACAGTGCCAGGCTTTGCCCTGAATGTGACAGGCATGTTTTTCTCTCTGTCCAAAATTCTGGGGCAGCAGTTGAAAAAGCCCTTCTGTGGTCACCAACCAACCTCTCCTCCCCCATTCCCAGGAAGAAGTGATTCAAGAATGTTCTTGGCTGATATGTATTTCAGTCCCCACCCCCTTTTGTCTTTCCCAGTGCCTGGAAGATGGATTTATTTCATAATCATGGTCAACTAATACTCTGCTATCAGTTTCAAGTTTATTATACAACCCTTGTCAGCTGCATGTCACTTTTTGCAAGAGCTGTACATATCTTGCCAGATGGCATAAAAACTGGATTTAAATATGATAGGGTATTCCCTCTTAAGTTACTATGGATAAGTTTTTTCAGCTGAAATTACACACATGTAACATACGCATATGCGTGCATGTTGCTAGTTACGACCCTGAAATCCAGCACACTAATGGTCATGTATCTTGTGGGAAAATAAATGTATTTATCTACACGTGGCACTCAGCAATCAGTGCTTAGACCTAAAGTATAGTTGATACTGTGTAAATAGGCAGGGGAGATGTGGGAGGCAGTGGATAGGGAGGCAAGCTGCATTCGTGTTCCTGACAGCTTGCTATGTAAAGCCAAAGTTTTGCAATCGGAACTGCAGTGTCATTGAGATGGCACGCTGGCACAGAGGCGGTTCAGGTGGTAATGCTCCGTAAGCCTTTGCAGCAAAACTCTGCCAGATTAGTTAAATACTTTCTACATGAGAAGTCTGTGACATATTAGAGGTGATATTTTAATTGTTTAATTGCGTAGGATAGCAATCTATCATTTCACGTTTCAGAGCCCTGATTTCAGAATCCCACAATTTTGCCTCAATGGTTTCATCAGCCTGTAGTACAATGAATGTTTGTACGTGTGTATGTAGCATTTTGAGAATCAAACAGTATGTAAGCTGAGTCCATTGGGAACTTCTGCCTCATTGAAATGCTGCAGAGTTGCAGAAACTAATTCCTGTTCATTTCAACAGAGCTCTGCGTAGGAGAAAGCACCAAATGGGAATAAAATTAAATGGTTTGTGTTCAGTGTGCGAACAGCTAGATTCTCGCATGATGATTATTTGCTTTGCTAAAAAATTGGCTTGTTTGCTTGCTGCATTCATCGATTGTTTCTTTAGCTGTTTGTTTTCTCTGCTAGTTTCACTTCTTTTTGAAGGTTTTTTTCTTATGACTTCTTACGATTATTACAATTTTATAAGCCACCTGGAACAGTGGGAGAGGTGGGATGAAAATGATTAAAGTAAATTCATGGGATTGCAGGCAAACAGAGCAGCTATGAGAAGTCAACATTTAAAGATGGAATCTTGCTAACCAGCAGTTTGGCGGGAAAGGTGAGACAGGGATGGGTGGGTGACTAACTAGGGTCATAGTGAGTACCCTTCAAAGTCTCAGAAGGAAATAAATCTGTTCAGGATCTCTTTCTCCACTCCCAGGTGAATGACTTGAAGGCTTTTGGGGAAGGCTTTTGGGGACCAGGTAGTATAACGGACAGAGTGCCGGATGTGGCCTGGGAGATCTATGTTCAGATGTGAACCAGGAACATTACTAAATTGTCTTGGGCTGATCAGAGTTTCTCACCATGCCATCCTAAGTAGGACCACGCCTTTCTATGCTCGTTGACTTCAATGGATTGCAGAAAGGATCACTAGCTAAGCAAGCAGTAGAAAATCCAGTGCTTTAAAAAAAGACTCAGCTGTTGGATCGAGAATCACACACAGGACTCTTTTAAGGTGTGCAAGTCTGCATCCTGTCTTTTATGCTGTTTCATATGGTGTTAAAGCATTATTGTTTACGGGGCCACATACTGGATGGAAATATGAAGATTCTGTCCCATGGAAGTTCTCCTTTCTGCTTTCCCACTGGAAGTTCCCTTCCTGCACATCTTTTATCCATGTTCACACAAAACCCAGGTTCCCAGCCCTTCTCTACCGTCCTGCTTCCACAATGCTATTGCCTCCTCTCTATTCATAACATCTATGGATGTTTCGACTACTTCCTCCATATCTCCCACCACAGCCCCACTCCTTACCTGATCGCATGCTTGCTTCTTCGGGTCTCAAACCAATGAAATTTGGACAGCCGGTGAGAGGTCTGCCTCAGGTTCCACCTCTCTGTCCACAGAAACAGGAGGCAAAGCCATTCTACCTTTGACAGGGTGTGAGACCTTCCGTTCTGAGAAAACCTATGCTACCATAAACCACAAGACTCCACTACTTTAAGATTAGGAATCAGGCAGCTCAGTCCAAAGCTCTGGGTGTTGGTGCATCGCTGACACTGATGTACTGCCAGCACAGATAGTTGATATCTTATGTTCTCTCAGTAGAGAAAAGCAATGACAAAAAAAATCCCCACAAACCCAACTCCCAAGAAGCTGAGAGCTTAGCAACTGCATTGGAGACCTTAGCGACACCACTCCTATCCACCATTCACAGACCAGCATGCTGGTGACGCCCCTGTGAACCAGCCAACCAGTGCATGAGGATGCTGGCACACCTCCCTGACATCATGTTGCTCCCGCCCACACAGAAACCAGACTAAGGGAAGGAACAAAAGAAATACAGAGCACTCTTCTGCATGGAGGATTGTGGTGTGCCCAGTAATCACTCAGTTCTTGGGAGTTCTAGAGATAGGAGCTTGAATGCCCTTCTGCAAACCCTCTTTCCGCCCTTTGGCTGGCAGATAAAGAAGAAGAAGAGATTGGATTTATATCTTGCCCTTAAATACCCAAAGGAGTCTCAGAGCAGCTTACAATCCCTTTCCCTCCCCCTCTCCACAACAGACACCCTGTGAGGTAGGTGGGGCTGAGAGAGCTCTCTTGAGAACTGCTTGTGAGAGAACAGCTCTGAAAGAACTTGTATCTGACCCAAGGTCACCCAGCTGGCGTCATGTGGAGGAGTGGGAAATCAAACCCAGTTCTTCCAAACCTTCTGGTCTGCAGCTCAGCATCTTAACCTCTAAGCCATCGCAGCACCCTTGTCATGTATATTGCCTGGTTAATCACACACTGACAATGAGTAGGGGGGACTGTGAAACCAGATGAGCCCTTGCTAGATAGAGCACAATTGTGCAGACATTGGTGGATCTTCTCAGCTCCTTCCTAGCATCAGTCCCATACTGAAAACAGTTGAGGTTGGGAATGAGCTGTGGATGGGTATAGCTACCAAACCCAATTAAAAGAGAGACACCAGTCATGGAACAAGTCATGCTTCTATTGAATAGCATCAAGAATGGTGTTCGCAGTGCAAGTCAGATGAGTGGGTTTTCCAAACCTCTTGGTGGAGACAGGCTTTGACAACTGTACCGACAGACTACAGAACCACAGCAACAGACAGCATGAGGGTTGTAGCACTCTGCAAATGGTGTGAGCTATGATTCTGGAAGAGTGGCACCCAATAAGTGCCCTTCCCATACTTCTCCTTTCCTCTCTTTGGATTTCCCATGCTGTAGGAGTCACCTGTTGGTGGTGGGGAGGGAGGGAGGGACAGTGTATTAGTCATTAGGCTGAATCAGAATCAAGGCATCAAAGGTCCTGTGCATATCACAGCAGAACTACTTTCACATCTCTGTATAAAGGCTATTTTGCTCCCGTTGTTCTCTCTTGGATTAAGCATATAGGAACATGAGAAGCCAAGGAGGAAACTATAATAAGGACGTGAGGCAGCAACAGGTGGCTGTGCTTGTCAAGTAAGCTGGGCAGAATCCGGAATCCACGAAGGCTGAGACCAAGCCTTGCCCTGATCACGAAAAAGACAGACCATTCCAGGCCACGGCAGACCTCTTCTCCTTTCGGGATGAGCCTCTCTGTTCCGAAGCAGAACCAAAACACCCCAGAAAGGACCCTGCCCTGACAAGAATCCCTAAGCATTCTTACAAGGAACTGGAGGAAGGCATCCAAAGGTAATATGGGAATGCAAGTGTACCCTGGCTACCCCCCCCCCCGCATCCTCCCCCATGCATAAATAGAATGCCCTGAATTCTGCTCCTTCGCCTAGCCCCTGTTAAATATGCAGCAGATGACATCATTGCTTTTGTTGCCAAAGCACTCCTTGCCCCCCTCCCTCAGAGTACTTTAGTCCCAGTGGAGGAATCTGGGAATCCAGACGGCTCTGGGAGATGAGAAGCTGAGGAAGCCCTGGGTACCACAGCCGGAAGCCCTGAGCTCCATCAGTCCTCCTATTCAGGTAGAGCACGAGATGTGTTTCCTATGCCGGGATCTTCCTCTTTTGAGGATGGCTGGGTGCTCTCTTAAGTCTCCGGAGAGTGAGAAAGAAGAGCTAACATGTAGCTGTGCAAAAATACTGCCTTTCTAACCTAACACACTCCTAGTTAGATTCTTCTAGTACTAACAAAATGCATTGTTGACTTTTCCCTGCTCCTTTAACATGACACTATGACTAATTGTTTTATAGAACACATTTAGGCTGCTAATATCCTGAGCACAAATAGATACATGCACACACAGGTACGCACGTCAGTTTCATCATGGATTTCCTGCTTTATAACTATGGTTAGCTTTCCTGGACCATATGCTTCGTTTTAATGGTCTTATTCTCTGTAACCTTCTGAGGCAGGTTGCTGCTATTCCCATTTTACAGATCGGGAACTGAGGCTGGGAGTGAGCAACTGGATCAGGGCTATTTATCGAATCCATGGCTGTTAGTGGAAGATTTGAACACATTTGTCTAGATCCGAAAGCAACACAGCATTCATAACACCATAATGATTATCTTTTAGACAGAAGAAGTATAACAATAATTGTTATTGAACAAAGCTTTAGTGGCACCTGTAAGACCAACAGAGTTTAATTTTGGGTATAAGCTTTTGTGGGCATGCAGACTTCATAGGCAAATCTCAGCTCACCCATGATGTTACTTGGTAGCCTTACATAAGTGAAATGAAAATAATATAGTTGCATACATTACAGGATTGTTTGTAAGAATTACTAAGATAAGACAGTGTTTTGACCACTTAGAAAAAGCAGACTTTAAACACCTATTATTGTTAAAGTTGGACTGGAGAAAATACTTACTATTGTTAAAGCTACACCACTGGATTGAATTACTATATGCTACTATTACTACTAGCATAGTAATGTTATAACATCAGTACACTCAAGCTGCAGTGCACATACAGTTGGTAAGTCCCATTCATCTCAATAAAATGTATTTACATGAACTTTTTCTAGGATTGGCTGTCAATCACTTTGTCTATGGTTTACCTAGATCTCATATATTCAGGTACTTACCCGGGGGACTTGAAAAATTAAATAGAGGCATGAAAAATCAGACTGCTGGAGGTCGGTTCAATGAAGTTATTTGCTGCTGAAAACATTTTAGAAAATAGAAGCACAACCCATAGGGAACTGCAGCATCTTGGAATCGCAGAAAACCCAAGAGCCCGGTGATGTTGGCTTCTTCTACTAAAATTAGCACAGGCACATTGTGGAGGCTTTCAGTGGGAAACATGCATGACCCAAAATAGCCTCAGAAAAATAGAAATTCCAACTGGAATCTTATAAACTGTAATGTGTGCCAATTGTCATAAAGTTCTACAAGGGACACCATTGCAGACTTTGAGGATGATCATTGAAGATCAGTGATGGGGGACAAAACTCTTTGCAAGGTTTAAAGGTATGATATTGAATATATTCAAGATTAAAGAAAAATCACAAGCTGACAACCAAAAAAAAAACAAAACCCAGCTGAGTTCATTTGATGTGTTTCTGTACCTGGAAATAGTGAACTTTTGAAGAACAATCATGCATGGCCATAAAAATTTATGTATGGGGGGAGGGGAGAAAGAAAAAAGGAGCATCTCTTTTAAATGGTCTGAGTGGTGTGCCTTCTGTCTTTCTAGGGTTCTTCCCAAATTAAAACAGAGAGGTGTAACCGTTGCAATAATTAGCAGTGTGCTCTCTGACCTATATGAATTAGGGCATGAAACTTAATGCAAGCCAGTCAGCTTTGATTAAAATTCTTCAGGTGTATCAGATGTTTTCTGTCTTGGTGTTATATTTCTGAAAAGTTTGGATGAAGCTCTTAAGATGGACAAGTCTTTTTTAAAATGTGCTTAATAAGAGCAACGACACACGAAGAAATGAAAAGGAATCTACTGTCACATTACTGGCCTTTAAGCTGACTGACAGATGGAACCTTTTAAAAAGCCTGTATCAGCACTTGGGGAGTGGGGGGTGAGCAGACAGGATTCAGGTGATCAGCTGGCACTCTGCTGATGTACTTTGGTCCCTGACCCATCCCCCCAGTTCAAGTTCTCAGATCTGAACAACTGTGCAGTTCCAAGATTTTGCTCCTTTGCTGGCATGGATTGCTATGCTGGTAGGGCAAGAGGGTAGGGAAGAGACCCTCCAGTTTTCATTTGGCAAAAATAAGCACAAGGAACTTGGAAAGAGCCCAGCGTTTAATATGGCAGTGGGTTATAGTACGAGGGGAGTTGTCTTCTACAGAGCACAGTCGTTGGTCTGCCTAGTCCAGTAATATCTACTAGTAGTAGATCTCCACGGACTCATCTTCCCCTGTCCTGATACCTGAGATCCTTTAAGGAACAGTGCCAGGTACTGAACACTTAAAATATCTGATGAAGGGAAGTTTGACTCTCGAAAGCTTATTACCCCCCCACCTCAAATCTTGCCGGTCTCTAAGGTGCTACTAGACTCTAATCTAGCTGTTCTACTGCGGATCAGCATGGCTACCCCCTGAAACTTAACGTACAAGCCCTTTCCTAGACCTCTTCCCTCACGCTTTCTAAGCAGCTCCCATGTTGCTGAAAAATATTGTTAGACGATGGAAAAGCTTCTTACCTTTACAGATGACTAACTCACATTCACCTACGCAAATATGGAGCATGATTGACAGTTTTGATTGATTTATTAAGGTATTTATACCCCACTTTGTCCCCAGTTAGGGTTGCCATCTCCCCCAATGGGAGCGGGGTTTCCCCCACTTTTGGGGGCCCCAATCCACCACTGCTCAGCTGGCCAGCGGGGGAACTCAGCCCCCAAGCAGCCTCATCTGCACTAACGTGCCTGGCACGATGACGTCATCATGTGGGGCACGTTGCAGGGGGACATTCTAGGATTTGAGAACATTTTTTATGATGACCAGGAAGAAGACAGGAGCACCCCCCCCTCCCGGAACACAGTGAGGACCTGGCAACCCTTTCCCCAGTGGAGACCAAAAGTGGCTAACAACACTGTTCTCCTCTCCTCAGTTTTATCCTCACCCTGTGAGGTAGTATTGTCTGAGAATATGGGACTGGCCCAAGGCCAGCCAATGAGCTTCCATGGCATAATGGAGATTCTATCTGGCTGTGTCATATTTGGAGGCCACATAAGCAAAGCCAGGGTATAACCCTGCTTTATTTGGTAGTTTCAGAAGGTAGCCATGTTGTTCTGCAGTAGAACAGCTGGATTTGAGTCCAGTAGCCCCTCAGAGACCAACGAGATGTTTGGGCTATAAGCTTTCAAGAGTCAAAGCTCTCTTCATCAGGTTACCTCATGAAGGGAGCTTTGGCTCTTGGAAGCTTATACCCTGAGAACCTTGTTGGTCTCTAAGGTGCTCCAGCTATAGGGTTGCCAAGTGCGATCTTCGCCGCAGCGGGGGACTCCCGGCTGGAGCGCGCGCGCACTGCGTCCTTGTCACTCGGAAGTGACGCGACCATGCCAGGCACGCTGGGGGCGGGGCCATGACCATCCAAGGGAAAACCATAGAGTTTCCCCTCAGATGACCATGGCCCCGCCCCCAGCGTGCCCGGCGTGGTCGCGTCACTTCCGGGTGACGCGCACGTCGGGGTGGGGTTCCCTCCGGGGCCTGATCCGCCAGCGGTGGGGGATGGGCCTCTGGGGCAGGGGTTTTCCCGCCCCCCGGGGGGACTTGGGAAGCCTAGGCCTTGTGGAATCTGGGACATTTATTTTTGGGATTTTTATTCCGCCCTCCCCAAAGTGAGCTCAGGGTGGATCACAAAAGCCGAGCCCAAGACTCGTTACAATAAAAATCACTTTAAACACAGTCAGGGGTATTTTTGGGCAGGAACGCACAGGAACGGAGTTCCGGCTGGCTTCAGAGTTGGCCACGCCCACTACAGCCAAAACCTCTGGGCGCCTGGCTACAGAGGGAAAGCCTGGAGAGTGACCCCCACCCAGCAACTCCACGGTGGGTGGGCCAGGGGGCCCCTGGAAGGATCAGGGAGGCATTTAAATGCCTCCCTCTGCCTTCCCCAGCCAAGGAAAGGCATGGGGTGTGGCCTAATATGCTAATGGGTTTCTGCTGTTGGGTGTGGCCTATTATGCTAATGAGTTCCTGCTGGGCTTTTTCTACAAAAAGAGCCCTGA